TGGCCTGCCCATCCCCCCCAGGCAGTGATTTCTCACATACCCTCTCTCTGTGTCTCTCTGTCTCTGTCTCTGGCAAACACATGAACCCTATGGCAAAAATCTAAAAATAAATATTTTTAAAAATCAAAATATCTAAATATCTCTTTCTTCATCACAAAGCTTTCTAATAGCACCAAATATTATAGTACTAAAATGTTTTAATTACAGGGTAAAAAAGTAAATCCTAGCAACAAGAGGTAATAATGATTACATTTTTGATAAGATACATATACAGGCCTTTTAAAAATAAGTCAAACTATCAGTATGCTAGGCTTTTTAAGTACAGCTAGACAGAACATCCTGGGACTAGAAGGGCCTCAGCACAGCCTCTGGAGTCCTCATGGTGTTAGCCCGGGAGCATCTCAGATCTGAGCAGCCACTTACAGACCCACAAAGCACAAGTGTTACATTATTGCTGTGCAGAACTGACTGTATTTTAATTACTTTTCGACATTTTATAGGATAAAGTGTTTGACGGGGAGAGTCCACCTCGGTTGTGGTCAAGTTTTTAACATAAGAGAAATACAAATTATTATAGTTAATGATCTTAGTGTTGGTGCCAACCACTCTTCCTCATGCAGTCCAACTACATTTTTTTTTAAAGTTTATTTACTTTGTCTATGAGAGAGAGATAAAGAGAGGGAACCAAAGCAGGGTCTTCATGGTGCAACCCACTCCTAGTCTCAGTTCAGACCATAAGCATAGATCATGGGCATATGTGTGCATTCAGTGTTCTTAGGGAGGCTCCAGGCCCTGAACCTATGGTCTTCCCTATGCGGATTCAGTTACTTTATCACTGTGCCACTGCCTAGCCCTTGTCCAGTATTAACTCCTGTATTTCATACTATTATTCCCAGATTTCAGAGGGCAAAAGTAGACCCTGAATTTAAATTACTTGCCCAAGGCCAGCCTGCAACCTCTACAAAAGTGTAGACGTGAGATTCTAACAAAGACAGCCTGGCCCAGAGTCTGTTTTTAACTACTGTGACTCACATCTGCAAGGTGGTCAGAAAAGGCCTCTCTAAGAGGTTACCTTTAAACTGTGACCTGAAAGAATGGCTGTTAGGTGACAAGCAGAGGAACAGCGTGCCAACATTACAGAACAGCACGGGCAAGGGCCTTGAGGTAGAAATACTATGGCAGGTTCGCAGAACCAGAAGAAAGCCTCTGTGTGGACCTGAGACAGCATGGCAGAAGGTGACACGACATGAAAATCTACCATTGTCACCATTTCATCAGATTAGTTCTCAATTCCTGAGCTCCTTCAAGGTCTGGCCCCTGCCTGCTTTGCAGCCTTAACTCCTGACACTACTGCACACACAACCCTTGCTCAGATACCACAAAATGCTCTTACTCCCTATCAACCCGAATGGATGAATTTCCCCCATTAATCTCTACTTTCTTTGCTCATGATTTCATGTTTCTTATTAATTCCTACTTCCAAGGTAGATGTTAAATGTCTTTGATTTCTTGAAAGCCAATCTTACTTATTAAGCTCCGGTCTTTGAAATTTTATGTAAAATAATCACTGTCCTTGGCATCCAAGCTTTAAAATGCATTGACTTGGGATGAGTAGATGGCATAATGGTTACATCACTGGACTCCCACATAGTCAACCACAGTTCGAGTCCCGGACCCAGTGGCTTAAAAGTCATGCCAGGCACATGTGTGTATGTGCCCAAGATCCCAAGAGGAGAATGGAATAGAAGGGACTGTGGTATGGCCACCCCCCAGGGGGCTGATTTCTCACTTTCTGTCTCTGTCTGGTGAGCACACACGCCCCATAACAAAAGTCTCTCTCTAAAAAGAAAGAAAAGAAAATGCATTGATGTGGGTTCCCTGTGAATCTTCTAATTGCTGGATTTGCAGGAGTTGTGTGTGTGCTTTAATGGATCCTCTGAACCATTAAACCTGGCAGTCCTACTACCTGGTATTTCACATCCAATACAATTATCCACCCAGGGCCTTCTACACTCTTACCCACAGGAAGACCAGATCTCTCTCCTAGAAGCTCTATGTTCTTGAGGCTTACCATCTTAACTATAGAAGTATTTCTTTCATGTCGCTGCAAATTACACTGTGGAGAATTTCTTTGTAATTCTTCGTTGTGTAATTTTTTTCTCTTAGTCTTCCTCTTGCCTTTCTAGGTTTTTGCTTTCATAACTTAGCCTTCTAAGTTACTGATAAAAAAAAAGTGGACTATTGGTTTCATATCCAATTCTTGACATTATATGAAAACTTTTATATATATTAATAGATTGTGAGTAAATTAAGAACCCCTAATGGAACAGTGATAACCCCTGAGCTGCAATAATGAAACAAAAAAGGAACTTATTGAACAGTAGGGACTCCTGAACCCCTTCTGTGGTCTTTGAGATTAATATTAAAAAAGTATTTTTCAATGCTTGCTTTGGAGCTGTCAGATTTTAATTCAAGAAAATGAAAATAGCCTTTTACCTAACTTTTCTTAAAAATGTATTAAGTATACCATCATTTATAGTTCTCCTCTGCCAAAGGTGACTCTTCTAGAAGCTCTTTAATCACTTTACTGTTTCACACTGCAATTTGTAACCCTCAGCAAATAAACTTCTAATCTACATTAATGATGTGATGATGGATCTATAAGCAAACAACAAAACTTCCAGTTGGAAAAAAGAATGGGTCCATGGGAAATGTCCCTAGGATATACTTTTCTCCACCATTCTTTTCTTCATTTCCTAATAATTTTGCAAAATAGGCCCTTCCTTTTGGCAAATGAAAAATAAAACCTAGCCATTATATACAGAAGTAGATACATTTAAGAGCAATGACTATCTCTTATTTTATCAGTGCTAGTATAAGGCTACTAATATCACAAAAGGCAATTAAGATATAAGTTGTCCTATAAAAGACAATACTATAATATGGAGGATCAAACATATAGAGAAATTATAGAAAAGGGAAATAAAAGGCTTCAAAATACAGATTATAGAGTACCAATGGGGAGAAAAGGAAAATCAGAGTAGTAAACACCAGACCTTACTTCATAAATTTTACTTTTAAGTTCATCGATGCTCTCTCAGGCTTATAGCTGTAGTTCTGAAATGGTTTATTATTAGATTAATACAGCAGCACTTAACATACATTCAAAATTTAAATTATAGACCAGCCCATGGCCTGGTGGTTAAGGAGGCTGGATCCCACATGGTTGACCATGTGGTTTTAGTCTTAGACCTGGGGGCTTGAAAAGCATGCTGGACACATGTGCATGTATGCCCAAAATCCAGAGACGAGGGAGAGATGGAGAAGGGATTGCCTTATGACCATGCCCCATAGGGAGTGCTTTCTTGCTCTCTCTCTCTCTCTCTCACTCTCTCATACACACACACACACACACACACACATACACATACACACACACACATATTCCCTCTGGTAATTTTTTAAATTAATACATAAGAGCTTATAAATTTAGGGGAATTGGGTCTAATTTGATAGTAGGATGTTTTAGCAAGGATAAAAACCAGCTGCAATAAAACTGTTCTATATTTTATTTCCCTCTATAAACATATTATGGGTCTTCTAAAAATGTAGATTCCTTTTGATTCTCTTCTATTTTTCTTTTTCTTCTTTTCCTATAAGATAAATGAGGGTTTTTTAATTTTTTTTTTTATTTGCAGAGAGCACATGTGCTAACCAGGGAGAGGCAGAGGAAGAGGGGGAGGGAAAGGAGAAAGTAGTCCCCTTTGGGGTGTGGCTGTCATAATTCCTTATCTTCCATTTCTTCATTCCATCAGAATTTTGGGCACACACTTCCATGTGCCCTACATTTTCTCAAGCCACCAGGACTAGAACTCAACACATGGTTGGCTGTGTGGAATCCAGTTCCCCTACCCATGAGGCTATGGGGCTGGCTTGGAGGTAAATAAGCTTTTATCTGATTCTCTGGTTGATCCTACAAAACCTCAACCATATTACCAATAATAACTGCCCTTCTAGATCCAGTATGCCAATATGCTGACAAAATGGATAATGCACTGTTAAAAAGAGAGTAAGAGAGAGAGAAGTAAGAAACTGGAAAATAAGGAAAGACCAAAAAAAAAAAGTTAATAAGACTGGTAAATTATTTTCTAGTGATTTTACACTTAATATTAGTCCTCTTTTAAAGATACTTACAATCTTTTGTTACATAAATGAACACCAAGAAGACATAGGTGTTATAATTTCTTTACCATACCACAGAGAAGCTGATGCCATTAAAGAAAGTCTAGAGTAAATATCTGGTGAGCTTTGTTAGACCCAAGGAATTGCACGGTCTCGTTTTCCTTTGTGACACAGATGCAGTGTGTAGTATGTTTACAAGTGGACAGGCCTGGTGAAATCCGCATTGCTGGCTCTAGTCATTTTCTTACCACCTATTAGTAGTCTGTAGCTATTTCTTGGCATGAGGTCCACTTAATTCCTTTGGAGGAGTATGTCAAATAAAAGCTTTAGGTGATGTTCTACAATGAGTCAGACTAACATTCTCTCAGTAATTTCTCTGTTCTGCTATTCCATCTTTCCCTCCACACCACCCTGACTTACAACCAGATAAAAACATTAAAGTGGAACTATAACAGATGAAAACTATGAAGAGATTTAGGGTCTCACAAATCCCTAAACATAAACGTCATCGATATTTGGACATTTTCGAGTTGCACTAGTTAATTAGAGGAACGGTATGTATTTTCTGCCTGGGTCTCAGTGACAGCCATAAGTAAGGGTCTGATTCCCTACCCAGACTCTCCCAACAGTTACTGCTGTACATGTGAGAGTCTGTAAAACCTACTGTGGAATAAAATGACAGACAAACTTTCTCCAGGTTTTATCGCCAGTTTAATTATTCATTTTTAAAACGAATAAACAAGCAAAAAGCTATTCAAGCTTTAAACTTACCAAAAATGAACAAACAAGCAAAAAAACTATTCAAGCTTTAAACTTACCCCAATGGCTGCTAAGATTGGGGCTTGGTAAATCCATTTTATGTCTCCAGCATTAAGTTCCCAGCACCTAAAACATAAAGGAGAACAAACTGGCAAAGTAAATAAGATAATTAAGTAGCATTTTAACTTCCAACAAAAACACCATCCCCAAACTTCTGTTTAAGAAACAAAGATTTGGGGCCAGCAGGTAGCAAAGTGGTTGAAGCACAGGACACCCACATGGTCAACTGCAGCTTGAAAATCATGCCAGGCATACATGTGTGCATGCCCCAAATCCCAGAAGGAGAAGGGATTGTGGTGTGGTTATTCCCCCAGGGGATAATTTCTCACTTTCCCTTTTACTAGCTCCTTCTGGCAAGCTCATAGGCCCCACAGCAAAAACCCACCCCCCAAAAAAAGTACAATCTTCTAAGCATAGTGCAATAGATACTTCACTTTTATTACCATTGTAATTAGCTATAATAATTAAAACTTGTTGATAGAATAATGTCCTCTCTTGGGACCAGCAGATGGCATAATGATTACATTGCTGGACTCTCACATAGCTGATCATGATTTGAATCCCAAATTCAGAGGCTCTAAATTCATGCTGGGCGTGTGTGCATGTATGCCCAAAAATCCCAAGAGGAGAATGGAGAAGAAATTGCAGCATGGCCATCCCTCTGGGGTTGATTTCTTGCTTTCTGTCTCTCAGTCTCTGTCTATTCAGCAAGCACACATGCCCTCTAGCAAAAATCTCTAAAAAGAAAAGAAAAGAAAGAAAAGAAAAGAAGAGAAGAGAAAAGAAAAAAGTTTTCTCAGAACACCCAGGTGGCATAGTGGTTAAAGTGGCTGGATCCCACATGGCCAACTGTGCAGTTTGAATCCAGACCCAGTGGTTTAAAAGCACACCACCTAAATTCTACCATGCCTAAATTCTAAAATCTCAAGAGGAGAGTAAGGAGAAGGGATTGTAGTGTGATCATTCCCCCTAGGGGACGCTTTCTCACTTTCCTTTTCTCTCTCTTTCTGTCTCTCTGGTAAATGAGAGCACACCCTAAAGCAAAAAAAAAAAAAAAAAAAAGAAAGAAAAAGAAAGTCATCTCATTCTCTGAAATTGCAGCAATTCTCTTTTATAGCTCTATAAATTGTAAAAATACTGACAATAATGCTAATCATTTTTTAAAAATTTGCTACAGGGCGCATGTGCTTCCCAGAGACACAGAGAGGGAGAAAAGGAGGGAAAGTGAAAAAAATATTTATACCAGGGATGGCCACCCAGCAACCCCCTCAGTTCTGTTCTTCTTTTGAAATTTTGGGCCAATACCCAGCATATTTTTCAAGCCACTGGGTCTGGGGACTCCAACCATTCAATTGGCCATGTGGAATCCAAGCCACCTTGACCACCACACCACCAGCTGTTCTATAGATCATTTCAGAAGTGCAATTGAAAATTGAATGCAAATTATTCTTATCTATAGAAATAAAAATTAGCTGAGCTCAGTGAAGTGTGATTGATTAATGTCTTGTGAATATTGAATACTTCTTGTATTTAGTTGTACATGTTCAGCATTCATTTTACTGAATATAAACATGTAGTTCATTCATTTCTCCTTTGAATCAATTATAACATCTTAATAGTTCCCTAATTAAGTGAGTTTTTAAAAATCTTTGACAGTGATGGAGGCGGGAGGTGGCATGATGGTTAAGGTACTAGATTCTCACATGGCCAACTGTGGTTCAAGTCCCAGACCTGGAAGACGGAAAAATCATCCCAGGCACATGTGCATGCATGCCCAAAATCCTGAGAGGAAAATGGAAGAGAAGGGATTGTGGCGAGGCCATTCTCCCTAGGGAGGTGATCTCTCTCTTTCTCTCTCTCTCTCTCTCTCTCTCTCTCTCTCCCCCTCTCTCTCTCCCCTGCCCCCATTTTTCTCCAGGGAGTGCACATGCCCTATGGCAAAAATAAATAAATAAATAAATAAAACCACTTTTGTTTAAGTTTGTGTAAGATCCACATTTTATTTTTAATTTTAAGATTTCTTTTTAGCATACTAATAAAAAATACTATACAAGGCCAACAGGTGGCATGGAAGTTAAGGTGGCTAGTTCTCCCATGGCCAACTGCACAATTGGAGTTCCTAAGCAGCAGTTTGAAAAACATGCTGCGTACATGTGCATGTCCCAAATCCTGGAGGAAAATGAAGGAAAGGGTACTGTGGCATGGCTGTCCCCACAGGAGAGTAATTTCTCTCTCTCTCTCTCTCTCTCTCTCTCTCTCTCTGTCTTGCAAGCACATGTGCCCTAAGGCAAAACTTTACATTAAAAAAAAATACTATACAATTTACTTATTTGTTGTATTTTTTCTGCACACCTCCTACCCCAACTAGAATTTAAGTTCTATTTGGATCGAGATTATTATTTTGCACCATGATGTATTACAAGTGCCTAGAATAGTACATAGTGTGTAGGTAGGTAGGTAATAAATATTTGTTGGATTGACTTGACATAAACTGAGTCCAAAATAACTTTGACTCAACCTCATCCAACCTGGTTTGTACAGCAGAGGTCTTACATTAGAATAAACAGTACATAGTTGATAAAAAACTAGCTCCACTTAAAAGTTTAATGCAGCACTTTAAACAGTATTTTTAAATTAAAGATATATAAATAAAAGTCTTCAATTTCCTTTTCCTTAGACAAAACTCAGCATTGATTATGGCAATAGTAAATGATACTTTAAAAATTAACTGGTGGGGATAGAGTGATAACTTTTAAATTCTAGAAAATAAACTTACTAAGTTTACTTTTTAAAGTCAATAACATATACGTAGTAGAATGTTCTTTCAATCATTTTTAAAAGTAAGACATTTCAGTACATGTCTAATATCTACATCTTTTTAAAGTTTGATTTTTATGTATAAGCAATACATCCCCATTTCAAAAGTCAAATTACATAAAAATTTAGATATTGAGACATTTTAGTTCTACTCATGTTTGTCTACCGCTGCTCTTATTCCTCACTTTATAGAAAACATCTTTTACTACCTTATTCCATATGCTTCCAGTGTTTTCTTATACATATACAAACAAAAACAAATGTTATATTCTAATTTTACCCTCTTATAAAAAAAATGTTTTGTGTACTCTGTTCTGCAATTCATTTTTTTTGTTTTGCAGTTAAAACTTCACTTTCTTTTTGGAGGAGTTGAAATTTATTTTTTAATTTATTTTTTTATGTATATTAATCATTGTGCATCTTTACAGTGTACAAAATGGTTCTTTCCAGCATGAATACAGTGCATATTAGTCAAGTCAAAGACATTACCATGTATATTATCATCAACAGATAACTTTACATTTTCACACCTATTAAAAGTTTTGCTTGGGACCAGCAGTTAGCGTAATGGCTATGTCGCTGGACTCCCACGTAGTCGACCATGGTTCGCGTCCCGGACCCGGTGGCTTAAAACTCACACCAGGCGCGTGTGCATGCATGCCCAAGATCCCAAGAGGAGAATGGAGGAGAAGGGATTGCGGCGTGGCTAAACCCCCCTCGCTTTCTGTCTCTCTGTCTCTCTGTGTCTGTCTGGTGAGCGCACACGCCCTATAGCAAAAAACCTCTCAAAAAAAAAAAGTTTTGCTTGTTTTTTTCCCTGATCCCCTCCATCCCAACCCCTACTACCCACTCCCTATGACCCGCCACCTTCTATAATATCTCCAGTATCCACAATTAGCCTCCCTGCTATATACAATCTCTCAGTTTCTGCTATAGATTATAGATATTCAGTTTCTTTATATCTATATCAAGGGAACTTAATATCACAGTATTCCACTGGGAAGACCATAGCGAAATAAGCCAGACCGCTACACCAGTGGGTAATTCTGAGGCAACTGAGCCTGAAATCTGCAAAGTCAATAGACTTAAAATGTGAGTAATATGGAAGTCTAAAGCACAGAAGTCTTGTACTTTACTAAACATTTCTTAGCATTATTCACATGCATCAATTTTTTGCTTCATTCAACCAGACAACAAAGGTTAAAGACAGTGTTACCGAGTTACACAGAATGTGTATCGAACTTCCTTAAAGAAGCTTTCTGCTATAATGAAGGTGGCATGTATTGTGTGAATATAAATTGAACATTGATTCACCAGCTACACACTTCCTGAATCCCATAAATTTTCTTTTCCCTTTTTGATATCCGTTAATATCTTCACAATATTCTTTCTTTGCCTCAATGACATTTTCCATTTCACCTGGGATTCAATGATACAATTCTAGTTCGATAAAATACTTGCATTTGGAAGTAGGTCAAAAAAAACAGCTCCCTCTAAACACGTGAAAAACTTGACTGTGATAGTTTGAAATCTGATCTGAATCTTTTTTTCTTTTTTTTTTTTTAACTGCAATGGTCTTTAATGTCAAAGTTTCAAATCTTCCCTATGATAGGAGAGGCAACTGAGATTTCAGACTTTTCTTTATTTTTAAAGAACATGCTATGCATCCTTGTTTTAATTAATTCATTAATAACTCAACTCACTATATTTGTGAACCTGGCCCCAAAACTACCCTTTGTTCAGATTTTTTTAATATGTTTTAACACTCTAGGAAATCCAGTTCCAAATGGTAGAGCAAGAGGCACAAAGGTCTGACTAGAAAGACCTTCCTAGAGTCGGTTAGAAGCAGATGCTTTGTTCTGCTGGAGGGATCCAGAGAACTGCACTGACTGAATACTGCATTCTCTCCACAACTCACAATCGATAGAAGTAGAGGAGCTGAGAGAAATCCAGCCCCAAGCGCCAGTAGATGCCCTAAGAATGTCAGAGGGTTTCTTTTCATGCTCCTTTCCATTGCAAGCCCCCAGCTTTCCTGCTGGGATGATAAAACAAAAGTGTAGCAAAGAGTTATGGATTTTCTTCATTTGTTGGCATCTCTTGTCTCCTTTGAAGGAAGCAGAGGGCCATAAGGAAGTAGCTTGTAAAGTGAATTTGCTATGGTAAATAAAAGGAAAGAGAAACAAAATCACTCATATTTTAATTTCAGTCGTCGCACCTAGACTACATAATTATCACTCACGATAGAATTT